TTTTCTATGTTAGCTATTACTATACGTAACTGAGAGAGAGCCATAAAAATCTGGTATGTTCTTCATTCAGAGTTCAAAGGTAAATTTAGTAGCTTTTTTTTTTTTAGTGCATCTTGGGTACCATTTTTAAATTTAGTCTTCCTGAAGCGTAATTACTATCACATCCTTTTAGGTTCAAAAACCTTAAACAAGTGATTCCTGTTTCTGAGTTATTATCCATTTCCCTCAGCCTAATGGAGGAGATAGTAAATATGTCATGTGTCAGGGGATAAGGGCTACAAACAAAGCAGAGTAAGGAGTGGGGAGTGATGAGTGATGGGGGTGCTGTTTTAAACAGGTTAAGGGGACTCTATAATGTCAACTTTGAGCAGAGAACCAGTGGAAGTGAAGGGGAGACCCATGTTGACATTTGGTAGATGCAAAGGCTTTGAGATGGAGAAGTCAGTATGATCTGAGCAGAGTAATTAAGAAGGAAAGTAGTACACGGTGAAGGCCAAACCATATAGTACTTTGTAGACCATGGACAGACCTTGAATTTTACTCTGAGTGGGATGGCGACTGTTAGAGAGCTTGGAACAGAGGAATGACACGACTTAAGTTTTAATGGGATCCCTCTGGCTGCTGAGATGAGACTAGACTGAAGAGGAAAAGGGGTAGGATCGGGTAGACTGGCTAAGAGGTTATCGCAGTCACACAGGAAGAGATGGTCAGAAAGGTAGTGGTGATGTTTTTTAAGGTAGAGCTGAAAGAACTTACTAATGGATTGAATTTGGGGAGTGATAGGAGGAGAGGGGTCAAGGATATCTCCAAGGCTCTGGGCGTAATCAGCTGGAAGAATGCAATTGCTTGACTGGTCGGGGAAGACTGTGGGTAGAACAGGTTTTAAGGCAGAGAGGAGACAGGAGATCAAAGGCTTGTTCTTTGACGTGATTTCTGAGAAGTAGCAAATAGGCTTTAAATATCTTTTGAAAATATGTTAAATGATGTATGTAAAGAACAATTTACCTGGTCCTGGAGGACCCTGTACTTTATATAACCAGAGACTTGCCTGATACTTCTGCCCTTTGTTCCTTTCCTAGAATTCATTTTTCTTAGCCTCTTGAATAATCTGTTCCAGTACATTTGTTAGAGGCTTTCTCAACATCCCAGTAAGTGATATCTCCTGTTCCCTTTAGTGATCTACTTGGTTATGTTCTCGGAATGTTTGGGTTCCTAACACATGAACTATGTAAGAACAAAGATCACAGACTCTAGATTCCAGTCATTCTTCCCCATGGTGGCTTTATGTGTAAACTGGGACAGCCTGGGTGAACGATCTCAGGGACCCTGAGCACATCACTGCTGTAGGACTGGTCACTTGAGCTGAGGCTGACGGGTTTGGGATGTGTCCTTCCTACTGCACGGTCTGCTCCTTGGGCGCAGGGCTTGTAACTACTTAACTTTTTTATTTCCTGAATCTAGCCTAGTACTTAATACGAGAGTGAACCTGTGAACGTGTCTGAATAAATTTTAAGAAACTAAATGTGTCTTTTCTCTTTTGTCTCATTTGTGCAGCGCCTGACAGCCACAAAGTGCAAGAGAAGAAAACTGCTGCCTCCAACCGGCCCTCCTCTGCTGTTTCAGGACAAAATAGCAACCCCTCAGGAAATAGACCAGGTACTGTGTGTTGCCTTTGCCCTGGAGAAGGGACGCTTATCTCCAGAGCCTTAAAGCTTGCTAGAATATAGGAGAGCTTGCTTCAAGTCCTGCCACCAAAACACACACTCAGACTGACCTGTATGAATTTAAGTCAGAGAACCACTCACACCTTCATATTCTCTCTTTAAAATGGAGATTCAAAAATATGCCCTGCTTTACCTCTCAGAATCATTTTGACAATCAATGAGATGATGTATGTGACTACAGTGTTTACTGTCAAGCAGTGTATTAGGTAATAATTTTTCCATTCTGTCTGAAATGACAGGTAGGACACAATTTTCTGTACCTGTATGCCCAGCATTATTGCATGTCTCTTTTGTGACTTTTTCAAAAAACCACTTAAGGAAATCATTACACACAGCAAAGCCAGTATAGAATTATGTTTTTGTTCTCCATTCCCTGCAATGTTTGTACACCTACACGGTAATTTCATTTAATAGCCTATGATTCACGGACTGTTCCACTCAGTGATACAAAGAAGCAAACACTCCGTAAACGTAATATGAACAGTTGAATAGACAATGCAGTTGCTTCCAAGTATCCAACAACCATTGTGTGGTCCTCGGGAGAGACTTAATGTACAGTAGGATGATAAGAAGCCATCAAAGGAAGGTAAAGGCACATTGAACACTCCGTGAGGTTCTTGGAAGCTGACTTCATGCTGCATCCAAGGCCAGAGTCACTCAAGAACAGTGAAATCAGTGAGAATAAAGATGGAAATAACTGTATCTAGCCTCATAGAAAACATTAACTATTGCACCTAGTTTTGTGGGGCTTTTTTCCCACTTGGAAAAGGTATTGAACAGAGCAAGTAAATCTGACTTGCCATGTAGGAGATGAATAACAGGCACTATTGCAAGGATTACATGAGGAACCATTAGTGGCAAATGATGTAGTTTAAGTGGAGTTTTAATTCACAGCCTCAGATTTCCCCATTTTGCGTGCAGTTTGCATTTTCATTCATTTATCCATCCATCTATCCACCCAAAGCCCAGCCACCATCTAGTGTGTTTTGAGTAGTTGCCCTATGCCTGGGACCATGAAAGGTATTATATGAGTGAAACAACAAGATCCCTGTCCCCACGGGGCTCATTCTAGTGGGCTTTTGTTCCTTATACTCCAGTCAGCATCCTTGTGGAAGTAGAAGCTCTTTAGCATGAAAATCCCATTTGTTTTACCATGAGAATTGAACATAACTAAATGGTTTGTACTGTTTTTTTCCCTTGTTCTCCCCATCAACCATCGTTTCTAATTCCTGCCATTTTTCACTATGGCATTTATACTTTTATATCCTGATAACTTGTTTATTCATGTGGTATTAGCACTGTATAGATACTAGGGATGTATTATTAAAGGATGCAATTTCTCCCCTCTAGCTGACAGTTTGATGGACTAAACCAATATATGAATGGATCATTCTAACAGCATTTCCAGTGTGATAAGAGAGAGATGCAGAGTGCATAGAGAGCACTGAGGCCAGAAAATCTTGTCTACCCCGTTGGCCATCTCTTTATCGAGCCATTTGATTTGTATTGCTAGAGTCAAGTTCAGTGAGGAGACATTTCCTTTTAGGTTGTGTCTTTTGAGTATCCTTGTGTCTGTTTTCCTATACGTACACATAAGCAAGGTACATTAGAGACTCTTACAGTTAAAACCACCAGGTTGTTTTCCTGAGTATCTCTGAAGATGGTATTAGAGGTTCCATGTTGGAGGGCTAGGCTTGGGTAAAACCTTTTGATTTTGTGGAATATGAGTCTTGAGAATGTCTAAAGCAGGTGACTGCAGTTTGTTGATTTTCATACTCTACAAACTTAAAAAGGAAAGTACATGCTATAGTTAGGGATTTTTTTTGACTATTGCTTTAACCGGATATAAGTATCCTGACTGAGTGAAAAAAGGGTCCCTTTTAACACAGTAAATCTTAGTTAAATTTCTTGCCTTCCTTTACTTGCTGATACTTGAGCTGTAGAACATCTCTGATCTAGAAGGCATCTATTCACATACAAATTGTTAATATTTTACCTTTAAAACACATAATGGAAGGCCCTCATTGTGTTTTAGAAGCATAGGCACGCTATGTCTCATGTTACCAGGAGGGACAGATACTCTCAGCTGTGAGTACTTGAACCCAGTCCCAAAGAGACGCTTTGTAAAGTTACAGGTCTGTTTATGACTGCTGTTTTCCTGAAGCAGTTTGAAATGGTTCTTTAGAACTCTATCGGCTGCCTCCAAATGATTTAAAGTTTGACCTAATTGAAAGAGAAAATTACATATTCTTCCTGGACCACTGTGTATGTACCTGAGAAAAGCAGAAATTCAAGTTTATTAAAAATCCCTCTTTATTCCTGTCCCTCTAGTATTCCCTGCCACAGGTCTTTAAGAGCCACTGAAACTTCATTCTTCCTTACTATTTATAAATAAACTTCCCTCATAGAGGAATGAATGACTTGCAGTCTTCTAGCCCTTCTCTGATGGCCGTATCATGCCATTCTAATGACTCTGTAGGTACTGTGCTGTGAAAAGGATGGGCATGATTGAGTTAAAGACATGATTTTTAAGCTCTTGCTCTACAACATAACTGTGCCACCTTCCTTAGTCACATACGTTTATTTCCCTCAGTTTTCTCATCTGGAAAATAGGTATAATAACTCTTCATTGAATGAATAGATGCTTGGCTAACTCGTAGGATTATTGTGAAGAATAAAGTGATAATACATATGAAAGTGCTTTGTGAAATGCAAAGCCCTAACAGAAGCAATTTATTGTACTAACAGTAGTTGTTCAGATAGAAGTCAAGGTCTTGTGAGTTCTTGAAAAACTTCTTCATCAGTGAGATTCAGTGAGTTGATTTTCTTGATCTTTGAGAGTCACTCTTTAGTTCCAGGGTTTGCAGGACAGTCCAGGTTTACACCTGTCCCCACAGAATATTACCAGCACTCCTTTTCACTCTTAAAAGTGCCCTTGTTTGGATGGTCCCGCTTCTCTTCGGTCATCACAGGTAGGGGATTGGATGCAGAGTGCACCTGGGACCATGAAAGGTATTATACAACTTTACCTCCACCAAAACCCTATTTCTGTTAAAACTTTTCCTTCTGAGAATAAGTAACTTAATTCTATTCTAATAATATTAGATCTATTGGGAAACAATGTGAAATGTTCACGATGTTAAATTATTTTCTATACCTTGATTTTGTTCCAGGGAAAAGTGATATGAGAGTAGAAATGAGAACAGGACAAAGAATTATAGAAAATTCACTGTTTACTTGTAATTGCTCGATTGTTTTTTTTTCCCTGAAAGCCTACCTTTAAAGATAATTTTTTTATCAGTTTTTAGTTAGTAAAGCTTAAAATTGTAGTTGCTAGCATTTCCATTTTTAAAAGTCTCTTATCAAATACAGGATTGGCATTAGTTTACCCCAGCAGTGTATGTTAATGTCAGTTTAAAGGCTCTGAAAGTCAGCTAGGGTTGTTGGCCCATTTGTTCATTCATTCGTTTAATGAATACCTATCTAATGTCCTCCTTTCTGCCAGCTGTAGTCCTAGGACTGGGAATAGAGCCATGAACAAAACTGACCAGACTCTGCTCTTCCCTACCCCCATTCACAGCCGTCTTTAGTCTGCCACAGGTGTTATTGACACTCTAGCACTATAAAGTGGCTCTCTTATTGATATAACCAGAGGGATGGAAACAGAATTCAAACTGAGTACTATTTTCTAGTACCAGGTTCCCAGACCCAACCGAAATCATCCAGCATATCACAGGCTCTATGCGTCTTAGACCAGAAATGTGCTGTATTCATTCTTTACTTCCTCAAACCTAATTCCTAATAGTGACTGAGAGTAGTGCTGAAATGATAAAGGCCAGTGGGAATTAATTGGAGTCTTAAGCATTGGCCTTATTTTATACTGTTTATTATTATATTTGTGTTGGATTGTATACAACCTGGATTCTTACATAACTGTTGTTACCAGACAGGATGCAACTTGTGTCACATAATTCATATCCCATTAACAGAATCTGATTTTAAAGACTCTGTTTCATAGACTTTCTATAATGTGCTTATATGGCTTTTATAATGACTTGACTTATATTGTGCAATGTTAACCATGATACTTACAGTTAACATCCATCATCTTACACAGATTTTAAAAATGGCTTTTTTTTCCTTGTGATAAGAACTCTTTGGATCTAACCTTTTATATAACACTTTAAAATAGAAGAAAATACTTGAGAATTCTCAGGAAAATTATAATACAGTGTTATCACTGAAAGTGTAGTCATGTACTAATTGTGATATTACTATATGTTAAGAAGTAGTAATATTTCATTCATCAAATTTACTGGACAAAAAGGTATTTATCCTTTGGGTTTCATCTGCTCTTTTCTCATGTTTTTTATCTTCTTTTCAGACCCTCCACCTGTGCTGCGGGTTGACGACCGGCAGCGGCTGGCCCGGGAGCGGCGTGAGGAACGGGAGAAGCAGCTAGGTATCACCTGCCCTCATCTGATCTTTCCGGGACACCGTTGCTGAAGTGTTACTTCTTCCCCCTCTAGGATAATGGACACTTAACACTGAGCGAAGGCAGGCATCATTCTAACGACCTGTAGCCTGCCTCTGTGAGTTTCACCAATGGATTGGGAAACAGAATTTAGTATGTGTTACAAACACAGAACTAAATTTTAAGCAACAGTAATGGCCAGCGCAGGATTAGGCTCATTTTCATGTCTTGTACTGTAATGACAGTCTAATGTGGCACTGCAGGGAATGTATATATGGGAGGTATGATGGCTCGGCTTACATTTTACAACTGAAAAAATGCTAGGAAAGTAAGCATGTAAGGTTCTTTTTATGTGAACAGTTATGAGACTGTGCACTGCTGGGGCACCCAGTGCTTTCCAGGCTAAAACAATGCTGCTGTTGGATTTACAGACGGATGCTGCCAGTATGCTGCCAGGAAAAACACAAGAGCCAGTGTTGAGGTGTCTGATTTTTCTTTTGTTAAGGCCCTTGCAAAAGGTTAGCAACTACAGTATTTGCCACCTAATCACCTAGAGACGGGGTCTCAAGACTAGCTGGCCAGGAAGCCAAGATTGGAGCACTCAGCAGTCCTTGTCTTCTGGCACACTGAGCAAGGATACTGGTGCCAACTCCTCCGTAACTTTGTCCATTTATGCAAAGCTGCTAGAACAGGATACTCTCTTTATGTGCCCTGGAAAGATGAAATAGCTGGTCTGTGTGTCTCAGTGCTTCCAGAAGGTCTGGGTGCTTTAAAACCAGGACTGACTTAGGTTGCTACAACCTTCCCAGTGGATGACCCATAAATTTTCTAAAGTCCTGCTGTGATTTGTAAGAGTTCATGTGTCAACTGGAGAACCCAGCCGCATATGCCGTCTCTAATTTATTTGTGTTCAAGAACCCAGATTTGCGAAATTCACTGGAAGCTGGTTCTCAAAAGTCTATTGACATTTGTTTACATTCTTTGAACACAGGCCTCTTTCTCTCCCTTGCCATCATGGTCATATGAGGTCATTTGTTTTGCTGCCAAGGTTTTTTTAACACAAATTTCAATGACTTGCTGGGATTAAACGAGCTGCGTTTTCCTGTGTTCAGAGTTTGCACCCAGGCTTGACGTTCCCCGCCTCTGTCAGGTTTCCCCGGGGCTGCTAGCTTCCTGGAGAGCAGGGCTCCTGTGGCCATGAGGGCTCCCTCTTTACTGGGAGTGTGGTGCAGTCTGCAGATCTTCCTTTTGTGAGCCATGCTCACTGCTCCCCAGTCAGGATCAGTTTGACAAGGTGTCAGAGCCGAGAGGGAAAGGCAGAGCTCCTGAAGCGGGAAGAGCATGAAGAAGAAGCAGACTACTGTTCTGGAATGGTTGGTGTTTGCCCTCTGGTTTTGGATCTATCCAAGAATTAGCACTTGTGTCCTTTTTCCTTCACCATCCCATCCCTGGGGGGTCAGGTTTCACCCTATTAAATGTCTCCTTAGCATTGCAATGTGGACTCATACTGCCTGAGTAAAAGTAGGTCCAAGGCCTCAGGAGACCACTCCTTTATGATTTAAATCCCATCATAAATGAGCTTTCCACTCTGTCTCAGACCTCTCCATTTGGGTTTCTTTGTCTTTCAAATCTAAGCATTGTTAGGTTTTTTGTGGAAAGTATGAATATGCTGGTCACACAAAAATGGTTTCCCTTTTACGCTGTAAAGTTGTATAGCTCTGAGCCTGCATCTTCTCCCTACAAGTTGCCTAAGTTTATATGTGGAATGGGTGGATTTTTTCCTACTATGTAGCCCCACATTTTAATTTGTATCAATGATATAGAA